GATCTAGAAGCACCATATCTTAGTGCAATTGGTGCACTAATGTCTCTAACAAATTGTACGAGGTCATACATATCATGTGCAATTAACTTACTAGCAAGATATAGCTCAACACCAATTCGAAGACATTGGAATGAAATCAAGCATGTATTGTTGTTTCTTCACGAAAATGATGGACATGAGGTTATTTTATGCGAACGACCAAAGTCCGCAGTTAGTTGGATATGTAAACGTTGATTATCTTTTTGATCTACGCAAGGCTTGATCACAAATTGGATATGTGTTTAATTATGGTGGTACGGCTATATGATAAAAATTGGTAAGAAAATAATGGTTGCTACATCATTTGATCACTCCGAAATATTAGCCACCTATAAAGTAAGTCGAGAATGGATTTGGCTAAGATCCATGATCCAACATATTCTAGAGCAAACTGGATTATCTTCAATCAAAGGCATTCTAACAATATTATACGAGAACAATATAACTTATATCACATAGCTCAGGGAAGGATATATCAAAGGCGACAGAATGAAACAGATATCATCGAAGTTCTTTTACACCCATGAGCTAGAAAATAATAGTGATATTAATGTTTAGCAGATTCATTCGACTAAAAATCTAGTAGATTTGGTCACTAAAATACTCTCATCGACTACATTCCAGAAATTGGTGAACCATATTGAAATGTTTATCTCAAAGATCTATCAAGCTGAACAATCATCAATTTGATTGGATGTTTTCAACAGGAAGAGGCTTATACTCTTTTTCCCTTCGCTAAGATTTTTTCCCACTAGGTTTTGCTTAGTAAGGTTTTTAATGAGACAACGCTTTAGAGCCCTACAGTGTTATCAACATCGAATTTTCAATCTTAGTGTTATTTAAATAGTCATCCAAGGAGGAGTATTATAAACACTATTATGATGTGGATGACTACTATACATAAATAGTGACACACAGTATCAAATAGTGTTGTGAGGACATTGGCACATGAGTGGAAGATGGATGACCACATCTATGTATAATTGTACTCCTAGAGGCAAACAATATAATTGAAAATTTTGTCAATCAATATGGAACTACTATTTTTTAAAAATCAATACAGTTTCCTCTTAAAATCTTAAAATATGAATACTCAACAATTTTAACTTGAATTTAAAACTTTTTTGAATGAATTAGTAACGATTACAAACCTTTATATAAAGAGACACAATTCAAATCAATTACTAAGAGCATCTCCAACCCTGACTCAAATTTAGACTCAAATTTAAATTTGAGTAAAAAAATTTAAAAAACTTTCTCCAACATTTACTCAAATTTATACCAAATAAATGGAGACTCTTTTTTTTTACTCAAATTAAGAGCATCTTCAACCATGACTCAAATTTTTACTCAAATTTAAATGAACATTAGAGTAAAAAGTTTGATTTGATATAAAGGACTCAAATAGACAAACTCAAATTTAAAGAAGGAGAGACCAAATTTAAATGAGGAAAAACCTAAATTTAAAAGGGAGTAAGGATGACCATTAGATCTGTAAAAGATTGTAAAATCTCACCATTAAATATTTGAGTAAAAATTTGAGTCTCTCTGGATTTGAGTAAAAAAATAAGTTTATCTTGATTTTGTATAAGTTTGAGTCAAGGGTTGGAACAAGTTTTTTAGACTTTTTTACTCAAATTTAAATTTGAGTAATGGTTAAAGATGTTCTGAAAGATTCAAACCTTTACTCAAATTTTTAATGGTGAAATTTTATTCTCTTTAGAGATGCTCTAACTCATAATCATACGGTCCAAGCGATAGACCCATATAATTTACGGACAATGACATTTCTATCCAAATATAAATAAATAAGACATATCTATACAACTAATAAGATATACACTTGAGTAACAACTGTAATTATAATCAAATTTTAATTTCTAATTATGATGTGGTGAAGGGTGTGCTCTTTTCATAAAAAATAATGAACGTGAATTTTTTAGTACATAACATTAGCAAAATATGTAAAATTCAAATTCAATCAATCTTTTTTGTAATATATATTTTTTCAATCAATCATTTATGACAATCAACAAAAAATTTATAATTGTAAAAAATATGAAAATTAAAAAAAATAAAATTTAGTAGTACTTACCTAGTACAAAGTCATAGGGTTTGAGGTAGTGTATACACGATTGAGGGAGGTGAATGAGGCATGGAGAATCTACTGATGGGATTTGGCGTGAAACACGGGCACCATTAAGGAAAATGTAGGGCCTTGGAAATCTGCCCATGGGGCATGGGATAACAGATTGGCGTGGAGAGAGAATGTGTGAGTCAATTTGGGAAAATTAGATGGCGTGAAATTTGCACGTTGGTGAGGAAAGTTATGGGTGTGAAAAAATATTTGGAAATCAATTAAGTTTGTCGAATGAATAACTCTGAAATAATCTGAGCAACGAAAAATTTAAAATAAGTTAAGAATTTAAAATTTTTATATTTTATTATATAGATTAATTATTGTCAGTGCTTTAAGTCGATACTCCAAAAAATTACACTTAAAAGAAATGTATAAGACGAGAACCAATCAACATAGAATCACTATTCAAACAAAAAAAATTGATAAAATAAATTCTAAAAACACGACTCTTAAATAATATCAATTTACGACACAATTTAAATAATCAAAATAGTAAATAATACAAATTTTTATTTTTAAAAAAATGACTCATGTCATAATCTTTCATAATATAAACCGGTCGATAATGTTCAATGTGTTCTTCCACTCCTGAGGATAATTTGTAAAACTCCGTTTTCATGGAAAATTGAATGTAGTATCGAAAATATTTTAATTTTTTATTTTGAATAAAAAACATTTTACATGACTTAGAAAATTAGAATAAGTAAGACTTATGGCCTGTTTGGTTTGCGTTTCAAAAATTAGTATCTGAAAACAGTTTTTGAGAATAATTTTAAAAAAGTGATTTTGATATTTTTTGAGAAAAAAAAAACTTGTTTGGTTAGATGATTTCAAAAACAATTTTACAATACAGAAAATAGCAAAACTTGTTTGGACAGTCTAAATATATTTTTAAACAGTAATTCAAAAATTAATAAAAAAAATATAAAAAATTTATTTTTATATTGACAATTTCATATATATATATACACATACATATATATATAATATAATATATTATATATTATGAGAGAGAGGAAGAAGTAAAAAAAAAAAATGAAGAATTTGCTGCTAAGGAGACTCGAAGGACAGACCTCATTAAGGTCCAAAATTGTTCTCCTTGTTTTCAAAATTATCAAAGAATACTCTGAAAACAAGTTAAATTTGTTTTCAATTTCTTTGACTCAAATCTCATTTTTTTTCTCAAAAATGTTGAGAACAAAAAACTAAACAAACAAGCTTGGGGTGTTTTTGAAAATTTGAGAACAAAAAATAGTTTTCTGGAAGCTAGTCAAACGTGGCCTTATTTACTCATTATCTAAACACTCAATAGCCCCCAAACTTAAGCTATTATATTTCGTTTTCTTTGTATTAAAAAAACTAAAATTCTATATTGCTCACATTAATTCAAATATTAAAGTTACATAATAAAAAAAAACCATTCACTCATTTGATAAAATCATGGATGGAAAAAAAAAAAAGAGATTTCATAAAATGCTAAGAACAAATATGTCACTTCAGTTCATTAGTAATTAACTTAAAAATTGTCACTACAAATATTTAAATATTAAGAAAACAAATTAGTTTTCATAAAAAAAAAATGAATGAATTAAGGTAGGCATAATTTGGTGAAAGATTTGGGTGAATATGAAAGTCAAGAAGCCGCGAATGAAACATAGAAAGCACATTATTATATAGATTTATCTTCTTAAAAACAGGCTATCGAAGTAAATAAGGAAAGAAAGTAAATAAACAGTTTCAAATGATTAATGGTATGTTATTTATTGAACATAGATTCCTTACATGTGACTACTTTTACATTTGAGATTGAGTAATATTATTTTTTGATTATATAATTATTTTTAAAATTGAGGTCAAAAATTAAATCAATAATCATCAGTACCATTATTAGACCTTAAAATTATAGATTTGGACTTCGTCGTTCTATAATAATAATTGATTAAATAAAAAAAAAATTGAATTAACGCTTCTCAATATTAATTGTAGAGTAATTTTTAAGAAGAGCTAAAAATTTAACTTAATTTGTTGACTTAATTTACTATGATATTTGGATTGACTGTAAGTCCTATCAAACATTAGAATTTGATGTTAATCAAATGATTCATATTAAGTCACGTCATTATATCAATAAATTAGATCAAATTTTTAAATTTAAATATCATTAGTCAATTTTTAATTGAGTGAGATTAAAACCATTCCCACTGTAATTCACCTGATTTCCTCTCTCACACTTGCAAAAGTAACAGTGGGAAGCGCAAAAGCTAAAACCCCGGCCTCTCTCTCTCCCCCTTCTCTTTCTCTGCTTTCTCTCACTTAAAAGCTTTGCTTTTCCAACTGTCGTCTCTACTTCTCTCTTTTGAGGTAGAGCCCCAAAAACACAGGTCACGGTCGCCGCCATTGGTCATATATTTCCTTTTTTTTCTCTTCTACGCTGGTAGATATCTTCTCAGCACAGACCACAAAACTACACAAAGCAAGTCTCTAGCAACCAACCTACCACGTACTAGCTAGCTTTCCTTGTCTATTCATTCAATTTAAGCTGCTTTTTTACCCTCTCATCTCAGCTTCCTCATATTAATGCTCCTTCCCATCTGTAAACTTCTCTCGAGCAACTGATATACTGAAAGAGGAACACAACGTTGGTTTATAGAGGAATTGTACTGAACCCATTAGAAATGAGAATCATATTGAGTCTATTGACAGAAATAAGTTGAAGAACATGGGTTTCATTTTGTTCACGGTTAAACTCAATCTTTTGCTATTTTGCAGGGACTGCATCCCATTTTAAGAGGCCTTTGAACTCATTTCTCAAGCTTCAACAATGGCCGACACAGACCCAGATTCTTCTTCCCATAAAATCCCCTCTCTCCCCCAGGTAACCTTCTAGACCCAGTACTCTCTCTCTCTCTCTGTATATGTGGTTTGTCTTATATCTGCATACCCAGGTGGTGGAAGAGCTCAAGGAGCTATGGTTCATGGCTTTGCCAATGACAACAATGAACTGCTTAGTCTACGTCAGAGCCGTGGTCTCAGTCCTCTTCTTGGGCAGACTAGGAAGCCTAGAGCTAGCCGGAGGAGCCCTCTCCATAGGTTTCACCAACATCACCGGCTACTCTGTTCTAGTTGGTCTAGCCTCAGGTCTTGAGCCAGTTTGCAGTCAAGCCCACGGTAGCAAAAACTGGGACCTACTCTCACTCTCTCTCCACCGCATGATCTTCATACTTCTGTTAGCAATCATACCCATCAGCCTCCTCTGGGTCAACCTTGAATCAATCATGGTGTTCATGGGTCAAGACAGAGAGATCACATCAATGGCCGCGACATACTGTATCTACTCCCTCCCAGACCTGTTGACAAACACCTTGTTACAACCTCTGAGGGTGTATTTAAGGTCACAGGGAGTGACGAAGCCTCAAATGTGGTGTAGTTTTATTGCTGTGTTGTTTCACATACCATTGAATTTTGTGTTGGTGGTGGTGATGAGGTGGGGGGTACCAGGGGTGGCTATGGCTTCGGTGCTGACAAACCTGCACATGGTGGTGCTGATGATGGGGTATGTGGTGGTTTATGGGAGGTGGGAGTGGAAGTTGACGGCTGGGATTGGTGGTTTGTGTGGTGGGGTGGGGCCATTGTTGAAGTTAGCGGTTCCAAGTTGTGTTGGGATTTGTTTGGAGTGGTGGTGGTATGAGATTGTGACAGTGCTTGCTGGGTACTTGCCAAATCCTAGACTAGCCGTGGCTGCCACTGGGATACTGATACAGACCACTAGCTTTATGTACGTGGTGCCCATGGCATTGGCTGGCTGTGTTTCTGCCAGAGTAAGTATACAATATATTGGTTTATTATATGCATAACAGAGTATATAGATGGATTACTCCATCAAACCCACATTTTATTTTTTTGATATCATATCTAAAAATAATTCATTGTCGGCTTATTTTGAGTTATGTATAGTCCTTCGTGAATAATGAAAATAAAGTTACATGTGTAAAGCTTTAGTTGGCCAAACAAAGAGATATAGGACCCAAAAAATTACTTTTTAATGTCAAAGTCTAACCTCAGAGCATATGTGTACAAGTTTTGTCTGTGATTTGGAAGGTAAAATGCAGCGCCCATGAAACACATCTATTTTCTATTTGTTTTGCTAGGAAATGACATTTTTTAGCATCAATTATACCAATGATGAGGGCTAAGAAGACATGTATACATTTTTTCTGCAATTACTTGTTGTTTAGTAGTGTTTGACCTCATGTGATTCATTTAGTTGTTTTGGTTACAAGAAGATGAAGAATTTATTCTCATTGTACAGGGATTATAAATCATAAAACAATTGAAATGTGTCTGTCATAGGTATGGGTGCTTGACCATATATTATTCAAAACATTTGGACCTTCAGCATGTGGTGAAATGAGTCATTTCTGGGGAAATGGGAGTATAGTTTTAGTTTTTAAATAGTAGAAGGAACCATTTTTTGGCAAATTTATCAGTTTTGACTATATCTCGATGAAAGTTTGGAAAAAAAAGTTAGCCGGAACAATTATTATTGATGAAGTAAGAATTTGGTGCCAAGTAGTTACTTTTTTGGTATCATGACACGTAGATAGTCATTATTATATTATTTTATTTTTTGTACCATCTATGATTATGCTAAACTAAGATCCTTATTTGAGAGTTATTTATCGATATGGTATCAAAAACTTAGTGGTCTATAGGTATGGTATCAAAAACATACTTTTTGGTATAACCACCTTTTCTATTGTTGGTGTGGCACTGTGGATAGTATAAGTTTGCTATGGTCTCTGAAATTCCCCATTTAATGCTTGGTTTATAAAGGCAATGCTGGTTTAGGGCAATGTCTTGCCTAGTCTATACTAGCAGTGTATCGATGGATGAGAAGAGTTCTGTCCATTATGCATGATTGTATCACTATTTGATATTATATGCATTTGGCTAGTTGGTTGCTTGATAGCATCACCCTTCCACTTGTAGCCTTACCCAACCAGATCACACATGTAATGTGGTTAGACAATTGGAGCATAGGACAAATGTTTGCTCATCCACATCCTTTCCCTCTTCTTTTTATGACCAACTTCTGAAGCCCATTCTGTTACATGACAAAACAGCCAACCAAAGCTGACAAAGTAGCCTTGTTTTATATCTTGCTTTGCTTGATATGCATGAAACACTTGTACTGTTTGTACATAATTTGAGGATTTAAGTTGGGACTTAATACATTGTCTCCAGTACATTGAGTAATTCCAGTTCAATGCTATGATCCTATAACACATCAAATCCTCAAATTAAATTCCAATAGTATTGCTCTACATAGAATGGTATAGAAAAGATATTAAGCATCTACTAGAAGAGTCTATTAGTGGGTATTTTGTTTGATATACCCACTCGATCCGAGCTCTTGGAATTGGAGTAAGTTCAGCAGTGCATTACGAAATGTTAGGTCGCTCCATCCCCCCACCCCATGTTAAGTTCAATCATGAACTTAAAAGTCTTTCTAAAAGATTCCTCTCTTCTAGACCACCAATCTTGTATGGTGAAACGGTCTACTTAAATATAACGTGTTCTACTTGAATTTATGATGTATAACTTAGGATTTGATGGGATTGAGACAATTAAATACTGTAGATTATCTGGGTCGCAAAATTTGATTAGTGATGTGATGATGGAGCTCTTTGTGTATATGCAGGTTGGTAATGAGTTGGGAGCTGGGAAGCCATACAAGGCCAAGCTGGCTGCAATGGTTGCATTAGGCTGTGCATTTGTTATAGGGCTCATCAATGTGACATGGACAGTGATCTTGAGAGAGAAGTGGGGTGGTCTATTCACAAAAGATGAGATGCTCAAAGCCTTGGTTGCATCAGTTTTGCCACTCATAGGGCTATGTGAGCTTGGCAACTGTCCACAAACAACTGGCTGTGGCATCCTACGTGGCACCGCCCGGCCGGTCGTGGGTGCCAATATCAACCTCGGTTCGTTTTACTTCGTGGGCACTCCAGTGGCTGTTGGGTTAGCCTTTTGGCTCAAGGTTGGGTTCAGCGGCTTGTGGTTCGGGCTCTTGTCGGCTCAAGCCGCATGTGCCATTTCAATTCTTTATGTTGTGTTGGTTCGTACGGATTGGGAAAGTGAGGCTTTGAAGGCCAAGAAGTTTACTGGCTTGGAGATGACAGAAATATGTGACAATGATGAAGAGAAGAAAGGGTTCTTAGTTAAAGAAAATGAAGCCATTGATACCCTGTTTGAGGGAGACACAGAGAATATGTGGCATGAATAGCTTTTGGATTTCTTTTGGTTGTTTAGTTGCTTTATGAAGAGGTGGCACTTAAATGTTTTTGCTGTGGTCTGATACCCTTTGTTTCAAGTGAAATACTGAACTTGCCATGTCCAAAAATTGAAAAAGTTGCCTTTCAATCTGTTAAAAGTTCTGAAAATTTTGGATGAATTATAGAGTGGATCACATTATCGTGGTAGATTTATTTATTTTTTGTTCAACTATCAGGGATGTTTAAGTCAGTTTATGTATATTTCGATTATTCTCTTTCATAATTCGGACAAAGACAAACTATCTATACTGGGATTAAGGTATTCATGAGGGATAAATTTTTTATAACCTAATTTTAAGGGTTTGTTAAGATTTAAATTCAAGACGTCTGAATTTACAAGACGAGCATCAAGATAAGAAAGAAGCTATCCTTCAGGGTACTCGAGAGCTCCCTTTTTTGGGAATACCCTCCCAACCTAGACTCAAGTTCAGATCTCTAACTTCGAGGGCTAGGCTCTACCATACTCCACCACCCGAAGGGATTGTAAGAGAGGAAGGTAAAGTTAAAAATTTTCAATTCAAAATGAAGTGACTCTTATAATCTCTTGTAATTTATGTACACTTCAAATAATTTCCTCTCCGGTTTAGTCATATCTAGACAATCTATGTTAGGATTAGAGTATTCACGAGAGATAAATTTCTCATGGTCTTCCAAAGGATTGTTAAGATTTAAACTCAAAATCGTCCATATTACCATTTGAGTTATCCATTGGGATTATTATGGTTGATTATTTGAGTCATAATTTCGTATGCTGATTCATGATTGTCAATAAGGGGCCTAAAGTAAATCTTTGAACATAATATTTTTCGTATCTTAATATGTTCCTTTTGGGGCTGTTTTGGAATATTAAACCCCCTTGAGGCATCAATTGCTACCTAATCAAAAACTAGATAACTTATTGGATAGTTGGATTGGATACTCTAAGACAAGACAATATCGATTGTTAACACGTACACGTTAAAACTTTCACCTATTAAAATTTTTCAATTTGTCCGTGCATCCGCATTCACGTGAAATGCATCTCTCTCAAAAATCTTCTTCCCTTGTTTTCTCGATTCACGTCTCTTCTATATCAAAAACTTCTACATTAATTTTTTTTTTTTTTAACTTACTAAAAAATCAGAAACGAAACAGTAGGTATAGAAATAATCCCAACATTAGTGTCGATACAATACCACCATTAGTTTCTCTTAAAAGGACTGCACCTTTTTGAAAGTGGTTATCCAGTGAAGAATGTGTGTCCTATTATTTTGTCTTGCAGTAGAGGTGAAGGAAGTGGGCTCTTAAAAGGTTCCATTTAAATGAGCAAGTAGTGGCTGGGGATGAAAATGAAAATGAAGATGAAGATAAAGATGAAGGTGAACACGAGCTTAAGTGTCACTTATAAGTGGGGCTTGGAAAGTGACATTTCCAGGCTTTTAAATCCTCAAGGTTGGTGCTGAATCCCACTGTTCCATTCAGCATCCACTGTCCTTTATTGCAGCCACCTGAAATTGACCATACCTCCACCCTTTGCACTAAGTTATGATTGTGATAAAGAGAGGGGAGGGTGATCTTATCGAAATATATATTTTGGCTAATAAAAATGTGTCACATGTGTATTTTTTAATTTTTTAAATCAATGATTATCGATCATTCAATTCAAAATTAATGGTTCGAATTATTTTTCGGCACAGTACAACATAAGATTTATACACAATAATAAGGTATGCATTACTTTTGTTTGCATAGTCAATGATTATGCAATCAATGGTCTCAGGTCATATTTTAATTTTTTTGAAAATAGGAGCCACTATAGACAAACACTTTTAAATATTTATAAGAAGGTGTTTGATCTTTTCATAATTTATAAGGAGTCTTATTTAATTTCTTATGGGATAATTTATTAAGAATATAGTTCACCGAAAGAAATGACCCCCCCCCCCCCCAAAAAAAAAAAAAGAAGTTATCAGGTAATTATGAACTAATTAATATGGTATTCCTCATCAATTTCATTGTTCAATTTTTATGTTAGCAATCTCATTTTGCTGAGTGTACTATAAGGCGTAGAAGTTTGATGAATAATTTTCATGTTTGACAAAACTTCTTAATGCACATCATATTCATCATTTCGATTACTTCTAATTGTCTTAATTTTTTTGTCAAATTAATTCTCAATCTTATTCTTATAATGCACGAAAATTTCTAAGGCTTCATTTTTGCTTCTTAGCAAATACAAAAAACAGTAACCTATGCAATCATTAAAAAAAGTAATAAAATATTTTTTGTCTCTTCTAGTTTGAACATATTTCAAATCACATATATCACTATAAATTAATTCTAAAACCTCAATATTTCTTTCAATAGTATGAAAATATGATCTAGTCAAGTTTGATTCCATATATGTTTCACATTTATGATGTGCATCAATATGAAATTTAGACAATAATTCTAAATTTATTAATCCAGTATAGTATCAAAATTAACACGTCTTAATCTACTATATCATACATTAAAAAAGTAGTAGTCATTTCCATTAAACAGAATTGTAAGATATTCAAAACAGTTGATTTCACAGTTTTATGCTACTGTCCGATATCACTGTGCAATGTTATTTTTCTATGTTATTGTCTGATGTCACAGTCCAATTTCACCGTCCAACGTTACAGTCTTATGTTTCTATTTATGTGGCTATTCAATTTTATGTCTGATTGAAAATAATTGTTGCAGTAAACACATCAAATAGAATTTTATAGCAATAAACACAAAAAATAAAATTTTATTGCAGCAAACCCACAAATAGAATTTTTACACATAATATTATAAGTATAACAAGAATACTATAGATTGTAAAAATTAAGTTCTTAATAGTTGGGAGAATACATATACGCAGAATATTTATTGGAATTTTTTATTTATATCATGCAATTAAGAACAAAATAATATCACATAGAACTGATTCGATTGTCGAACAGGAATTGTTTAAGAATTTTGATTAGGGTTAGTATTTGATATTATCTCCTTAAAATAGATTTTTTTGTTCATTAGAAACACTGCAAATCTGTATGCTCAACAAACCAATAATGTGTTTCTATACTCTGAAAAATGAACACTGCTAATGACTGAGATTATGAATGTGATGACTTTGGTAATCACAAATTTTGTAAGTGGCTAATGCAATTTTTCAAGTGCAATAGGCATATTTGTAGATGTAGAGGTAACTGTTTGAAACAATCACCACTGATTAGATGTAACCCAAAAAAAATATATTATATTATTCTCCTCACAGAGTAGAACACGAACCCATGAAAATGTACTCAAAACGATAAGTGAGTCCTACTTTAATTTAAACTTCTTAGAGATAAAAATTAGTTTCACCTTATTTTATCTTTAACCTCTCAAGAATGGCTCATGATCAAGACTCTGCATCTTTGATATACATCCCAAATCTTATTTCAACAAATACTCAAGAATGGCTCATGATCAAGACTATGCATCTTTGAATATACATCCCAAATCTTATCTCAACAAATTGTATAAATCTATTTGTATTTCACTACTATAAATACATGTAGCATATACAGTAGAAATGAATATAGAAGAAAAGATTGATCAAGTTTTTTGTAACTTTATAAGGTTCAACGTCAATTGAAAATTACTTTTTTATACCTAAAATCTACTTTAGTCCAACAAACCTCAATGTGGATCGTGTGACTAACACATCAGATGGTTGTTAAGGTAAACTAGTGCAGAAATGAGGTGAGTATGTGTGTAAGAATTTCCACAAAATGATCTATCAAACTCCATGTATTACAATAAAGAGTAATGCTACACCGATTTAAAAAATTAATTTATTGTTATATTTGTCATTAATTTAACTGTGGGTCTCAGTATTTATTAAGATTCAATACCTATTCAATAGTAGCGATTCATCAAATCAAGTTCTAAATTCATTTTTTTAAGTCTATTTAACATTTTCCTATAATAAAAGGGCAAATGATGAAAGTCGGAGCAATTTTTGTACTCAAATTTTAATAACAAAAAACCGTTTCAGTCATGTATTTTTTTCGATGTATATAATTATCCCAAATTAGATTGGTCAATAACTCAAATTTAAGATCTCAATATGATAAATTCATTTTTTTATATTCACAGGTTTTTTTATCTTACGTGGCGTCGTGACTAGTGATGATTGAGCATTGTTATTCTGACTTAATTTATTAATCTAATTCATTATAGCTATTAAATTAGCTGTGAATTTCATTAAATATTAAAACTTAATGTTAATCTAATAATTACAATAAAACCACATTATTAAGTTAATAAATTAAATCAAATTTTTAGATTCAGATAACATGACTCGTCTATCTATAATTTATAATATAAAACATGACAAACTTCAATAAGTCTATCCGACGGTCTTAAATAGATTCATCCAATGACCACCAATATTTCTTTCTAAACCATTTACATTACTTTGTGTCTTCAAGTACAAGTTATCCTTACTGGTGATAATAGGTGGGCATCAAAAAGCAAGCCCAGATACTTTCCTCTCTGGATGGCACTTCTCAAAAAAGGGGCCATTCAACGATCATTTAGAATTTGTGCCCAAAAAAACAATTATTTATGAAAAGTTCACAAACAAAATAGATGGATGGATGAATGAATCGTTAGGTGTAGCAAATCTATCCTTGTAGTTGATACCAATTTCCCACTTAAAAGGCAGAATGATCAACCAAATCAACTTTGTTTTCGAATATATCCACATTTTGGGATTAAAATAACTTGTTCAAATCCAACTTTATGAAATTTAAGGGGGCAAATTTTCGAATCATGGAAAGATAAAAGAGAAATTAGTTTTTACCCCCTTTGATTACCTCACTTTTTTATATTCTAGAATCCTACATTTTTCTTTCTAAAAATAACAATTTAATATAATAATAATACTCTTCATCTTTGTTAGCTTTTCAGCTAGAATTTTTGTTAGTTGAAAATATGGTTAAAGCATAGAAAAAGAAGAGGT